AACTTTGAATACAGCAGTGTTTAGCCAATAAAATTATTTGGCCCAACTCTTCTAAGTCCTACCTTAGGGAAAATATTATTGCTGTGGTAACATGATTGCAGCTTTTACTGTTAGTTAAGCTCAAGATAGAAATTATATTCTTTCAAAACATATATTTGGAGCAGAACTTATTAAAATAATCACTATTTATTCTGCAGATAATATCTTCAGACAGGCTGGACACCATCTGTCACAGTCTGATTTAATTTTATGGTTGTAGAAAAGTGAACTGACAGAGTAGAAATTTTCACAGAAGTCAGCTGGAAGTATGTCATGGTTTTCAGGAAAACCTGTGATATATTGTAAATGGTGGTTGTGTATTCATGTTATGTAAAAGGAGAAAGTACTCATTTGGGGGATGTGTTGATTTCTGTTTGCATCCTGAAACAAGTTTTAGTTCTGTTTAGTGCTCTATTGTACTGGAATAATTTATAATTGAATCCTTGATACATGCCTTATGTATCTCTGCAGGGAAAACTGAGCATGAAATCATTTGCTCTGGAAGAATTATTGAATACAGGAAATGGCAGTTTTTAAAATTAAATAAGACTGGAGCAGGTTTTGCATTTACCTTCAGTTGGTGATTTAAAATTACAGTTGTTTTCTTTTCCATAGTGAACATTCAGTTTATGGCACCTTTTAGCATTTTATGTAGTGTTTTATGTTATTAGGATAATAAAACACTTGTGACAAATTTATTCAAAATTAAATTAGTGCATTTTAGGATATATTTATTTGCTAGAGTGCATAAAGCTCTTGACAGTAGACAGACCACTGAGGGTGTTTCAAAACTAGCATTAGTATTGTGTGCTGAAATCACTTTCTTGATATGTGTGTCATCGAATAAGTAAGTACTAAAGCTGCAGATGAAGTAGTTTCATGAGCAGTAAGAAGGTCCCATTTCTCTAACAGTTGTATGTATTAAGCTCATTCTCTTTGTTGAAGCAAGCACTTAGCAGTCCAGTCTTTCACATCTAATTCGCTGCCTAATGAAGTACTTGTGCATCTTTCTATTTGATATATTTATGGCCTTTGGATCAGGATTTCCTTTTTCTAATTAGGATGAATGCAAATGCTTGAACCCTTCTAATTGATGTATTCATATGCATGCGTGCATGTGTATATTGCTCCTGTGTTTATGACTATCTTATTGCTGCTTAATGTATATCTGCTAAGATTTGTTTTCCCTTATACAAGACCTTGATTTAGAAATGTATGGGTAATGAATAGCCCTCTTGAAGAGACTTCTTTTTTTCAGAAACCACTCCTTTCCTCTACCACATATAAACCAAGTTTTCAATTTCTAAAGCATACATTTCTGTAAAAAAAATACCAGAGTAGTTTTCTGCTTTTGCAGTTGTCTGACAAGCAGCTGATCAGTATAACCCCTTAGGTTACTGTTAATCAGTCTGTCTTTTGTGAATTCTTATGATTCATCTGTTATGCTGATTCACTGTCTCTTTTGCTTAAAAGCCTTCTTGTAAAAAAACAAATCAAGGGAACTTGTTCAACAGCCATGGCCTGGCTTGTGATACTATTGCCTGTTCTCAGCTACCAGACTTTGTCTCCAGTTATAGTTGCAGCAGCTCTGTATCCATCAGGCCACATGAAGTTACTGTTTAGATTGCGCTTTTCAACAGCAGAGTTAACCAGAAAGCAGTCAGTCATAGTTATTTCCCTGGTTCAGTTCTGTTACATTCGTCCGTCTGATAACAAAGTTAAAGAAATCTTTAGATTGCAATGTATTCTTCATGGTAAGGTAGTGAAGATGTAGAAGAAAGGGGGGTGAAAGAGGGGTGATAGGAGTATGTGCAGCTTTCTCAATTTTTCCAAGCGACTCTCTCAGCCATTAGCGTAATAGTCGTGGAAAATGTAATAACTTTAAAGGTCTTTTGATGGAGATGAGAACAACATCCAAGATAACTTTTCATTTTGCCTGAAACGAAGTCTAGGTCAACCTTCTTCAGTAATTATTCTTGAGAATAAAATCAATAAAGGCATTGAAAAATTTTAGGTTTTCTTAAAACTGCCTAAGTTCAGTACAGCAGATGGTTGTATTGAAGGCAAATGTGAGCTGCAAAAAAAAAAAAATAGTTTCATATATTGAGTCCTCAAGCTTGAGAAATAACTTTGGAACAAAGGAACTCTGAGATTTGATGGGCACTTGGATTTGATGGGCATTTGATTACATGAGGCTGGAATCAGAAAACTTTGGCTGAAAGTGATGTTGAGAAAATACTCTCAGCTTTAGCACTGAGTTGGATGAAGATACTTCTTCACTAGCATTTAGTTTTAGTAGCCTTAATGTTTACCATCCAGAAGAATATGACCTTTGTAAGGCAGATAGAGCTGAATGGCATGTGTAACAGCTCCTAAACAATGACCCAGTGCGTTAAACTATTGCTAGTTTCAGGGTACTTTAATATGCTGGACTGTGAAATGGGAGTTGCTACATTCATCCTTCTTTTTTTTTGTGTGTAAATGCAGGACTGAGCATGTTCTCCGAACCTCAGTGCTCCCAGTTCTCATGAAAATCAAGGGCAGAGGGGACGTACAGTCTACTGTTCATCTCCTGGGCTACAAAATGTATGTACCTTTTTTGGAATTCACATTTAAAGGAAAACAAGATGAAGTTTTGTACTAAAAATGACCAACAATGAGTGATTTAGAGGCACAAAGTAGGGATACAAGAGCTTGGCTGAGTGAATTTAATTAGCTCATGGTGACCTTTGTAGCTGTATTCATGTTGTCAAAATCTGCTTCAGTCCAGTTCGTCTTAAATTTAGATCGTACCTGCTTATAGGTTTGCCTATCATGGACAGCATATCTGCCTCCCAGTTAAGAGTGGGCACCTATTCTGGGAAATGGGTGCCTAAAATTATTTATTTATTTACTTTATTTGTGTCTGGCCATTACAGTGCTTATCTGAGGCCTGATTCCAGGCTGGAATGCACTTTATGACCTTTTGGTATATCTTGCCCCAGACAGTAAGCCATCTCAGCAGGACACCAGAAAAAGTGAATTGTAATCATTTAAGACAATGTGGAGTGAAATGCTGGTTTAGCAGCTGAGCTTGAGGAAGCAGCATCCCTTCATTAGAAAAAGCCACATCTGAAAAGGTGCTATTTCCCATTCGATCTGTTTTCTCAAGAACGATTATCCTAATTACACTCCAAAGCCTCTGCAAGAGCTTAGGCTCTTTTGTTTCCTCTCCCTTCCCCCAGTCCCAGTCACCCAGTTGTGTAAAATGCTACCACTCCTTGCCCCTTCTGCACCAATCTGTTTGTCAGTTAATGCTTTCCAAAGGTATTCTCCGTTTTACTGACTCACACAACAGCTTATTGGGGGGGTTTGTTTGTTTGTTTGGGTTTTACAAGAAAAGTATTTTTTAAGAATTATCTTGAACTTTTTTAGGTAATACAGATAAAATACGTGTATGTGTATGGACTTATTTTAAGAAGAAAGATCCCCCATCTCTCCAGAATAGTAATAAACCCAAATATGTATGTGTAAGTTTACAAGGCTAGGCTGGATGGGGCTTTGAGCAACCTGGCCTAGTGGAAGGTGTCCCTGCCCATGGCAGGGGGTTGGAACTGGACGATCTTTAAGGTCTCTTCTAAGACTCACTATTCTATATAAATTTACATATGGTTGCTGTAGTGGAGACTTTCACCAAATAAGCATAAATCTTTAATAGGTTTTTGCAATACACAGACACCCCAAAGAAGAGGTTGATGTAGACTTCGCTCAAAGATGTAATTTCATTCTGGTGTTTTGCTAGCAATAGTGTATTTCTAGTATCCTTTTGAAGGAGACTGTGAGCACAAAAGCAATAATTTTTCAGGGCATTCTCTTGTGTTATTCTTTAGGATTTGGAAGGGATGAAACCTTTCTTGGGGTGAAAGGAGGCTCATTGGAGGGAGCAGTTACCCAGCCTGAATTAGGTAATGATAGAGTTCCAGCTCATACAGGACTGTTTGGCTCTGGCTGTAGTAAAGCCTGTGGTATATTCAGGCCACTGACAGGAAAGCTGCAGCAAGTTCCTTGGAGCTCTTCTTGACCAATGTATTTGATATTCTGAATTAAATGGTTTGTGTTTCAAAGAAGATAAGTACTCCAGGAAGTTTGAATTTCACTATAAATATTTCTAGCTAGCTCTTATCCCAGAATAAATCTCATGGAAATCTAGTTCAGTGTTGGAGCTTTCTAGTGTATTTTCTTTGCTGTTTAATGTAGAAGAGGGGAGACATCCTTCAGTTTGATGTGTTCAGAAGAAATGTCATCAACATAACTTTTCAACTTTGAGGGCACCAGAAATCATCACCAACTCTGCTGGTTCTGTGAGCTCTAAATGCAATAGTACCTCTGTATAATGGGACTTTTTGAAGGTGGCAAGTTTTAGTATGGGGATTTGGAGCATTCTAGTAGTAGGCACAACATACTGCTAATGGGGAAATCTCTAGTGGCTCCTTGGGCTTCAAAGGGACTCTGTTCTTAGAGTTGCATTGCTTGTTTGTGTGAGGAATAGCTGTGTTCAATAGCTGTGAAGGAGATGTGTTGTGATTTATTTATTCATTTATTTACACACACACCCCACTGTCCATCTCTTGCAGAAACTTAAATGAATTTGAAACATTTAGATTTTTCTATTTAGGGTGATGGGCATTTGTGCTTTTGTATAGCAGCCAATGTAAACAAAGGAGCATATCTACACTGCTATTACTACCTCTTCTCTGTACTGACTAGCTCCCTGATGCTGCAAATGTCCGAGCCGCTGCTGTTGGTGAGTGCTACAGAAGACTATTCAGCTCCCCTTTGCAGTCTGCTGTATCCCCTGATTCACCAGGACATACTGTAGCTGTGGCTGCAGATTAGACTTTTCTCTCCCTCCCCCTGTGAGACCTCTGTGTGCTTTGACGTCATGTGTGCTCCTTTCAGTTGCCATAGCAGCCCCATTCCCCAAGCTCTCTGCCTGTCTCCTCTGGTAGATTCCACAATGGTACAGCCAGCATCACGCTGCACAATGGTTTCCAGGCAGTGAAAGAGCGTGATTCAGCAAGCCACTCTTTTTTTTTTTCCCCCCCCCTTTTTTTTTTTCCTTCCTTTATTTCATTATTATCAGACATTTTGCCTCCCCTTTTTCTGTTCTGCTCTACCCTTTCCCCCAGGCATTCATTTAGTTCTTTAAATGAAAACAGTGATTTACCTTGAATCCAACTGCCCATCTTCTTTTTTTTTATTATTATTATTATTATCATCATAAATAACCCATTTTTTCCTTGCCACTGTTTGGAATGTGATTTTAAAAATACCACCTACAGTCGCAGTTTGGGGGAAAGGTTTCTGGACGAGGAAAATAGCTCGCAAGCACGGAATGGTAGGTGGTTGATGCTAATATTCTATGACTAACTGCTTTCGCAGGGTGGGGTGATGAATATTGATTGCTGTTTAAAAAAAAATGGGGGAGAGGGAGCGACAGACAGGTTAATGAAGTAAACTGAGGAAACAAGAAGGCTGCAGCTGTGTATTTTGTGGCCAGAGAACCATCATTTCCCTGCATTCAGGTGTGTATGAGCTTTTCTGTTTGGGTGCTGTAGGTGAGATGGTTGTGAGAGCAGTGCAGAGGGACATCATGAAAAGGAGTGCGATGGTGCTTTAACAGCTGGCTCATGTAAACAGTAGCGTTTACTCAGCCTCATCACCTCTAACACTGCTTGGGGACTTTGGGGGGAAGGAAGTGTGTTGGTTTGCAATTCAGTAGAAATGAGCACCTTATGTGGATTATATTATCCATATGGAGCCATGTAAAATTAGAATTTATAAAAATAAAAAGAAAGGATAATGATAAACAAGTAGAAGATCCAGAGAATAGAAGTCTTGGCCTTCTACACACAGAAAACCAGCACTCTGTGTGTGCGTGTGTGTGTGTGTGTGTGTGTGTGTGTGTAGAAGCCTTTGACAAACCTTGCTGGATGTGGGGGTGGGGGTTGTTTTTAGGAAAGTGATCTTTTAAGGTAATCATCACTCTTCTGCTTTACTCTGTGATCCGAGTGAACAACTCAGCCCACTAGGTCTTACAGAACCACCAAGAGCTTTTAGGAGTGTTTACAGCATGGTATAGGCCATTTATTTTGCAGAAGAGAATTAACAATGTGTAGATGCTGCAGTGAAATCAATGTTGCTTTGCAGGGAAATTCTCAGGCAGAAAAGCTATTGCTACAGGAAGAAATGTTGGGGTCTTTTACTGCAGAGAGACCTTATTAGAAATAATACACATTTGACTTTGATAATTAAGTGTTACAGCGTTGTTTAATAAGCAGGTGGTGCTTACAGCGAACCATGATGGGTATGTTTCACACCATTTGTGTACTGAGTGATTGTAAGCTTGTTTACATGGGTTCTTTTTGCTGCATAGCTTCATGATACCCCCATTGCAGCCTTCCCATCCTCTGATATGTTCACTGTGAGTTTTGCAGGACCCTTGTTTAAAGACAAAATCAACACTATATAAAAACACAGACTTTGAAGAAAATGATGGCATAGAGTTGAATTTGTTTTGAAGAAAAGCAAATAAGTATATTTTAAATGCTCAGGAGAAGCCTGAAATCAGATTGCTAGAGGACGCAGAGCTTCTCATGCAAGGCCAGCTTCAGGAAAAGGGAAAGGCTAAGATAGAATAAGATGGTGCTGGTATTGCACAGAGCTGTTTATCTTTGCTTACATATAAGCTACCTTTGGTTCCCGTGCCTTGGGGAAAGTGGAGTGCACCATACCGCCGGGTTTTAACCCTCTTTCAGAACACTTCTCTGTAGTCACCAGCTGGAAACACTTTGAAGTAGTATTTTCTTCTGTGATCCTGCTGCTGTGTGCTCACTTTACCTGTTAAGAAAGGTGGTACAGAAATACCTTTTCAATTGGCTCAGCTAATGGCTTTCTCTTTCAGAGATGTAGATGTGAATGACAAAGGTGATTTGACCTCAGTCATTAAATAATATTCTTCCTCTCTGGCTCTGAGTAACCTGCACTCTTGCACATTGCTCTCTCCTGCTGTTTCAGAGTGCCCATAATTTTTCAGGGTCCTGTTGGAATTTCAATATTTTAATTTTTTTTTTTTTTTTTTTTTTGAGGAGTGTTAGGATTACGGGGCAAAAATTGCTTAACATGAAAAATAAGTTGCCTTCTGCTGCCTGTCTGCTTGTTTGGTATTATAAAATGTCCTCCTTATTGTTAGAAATACGTGTATGCACCAAAGGGGCTTTTTATGAGCAGACCTTGAGGATGAGTGTTTTATTGTAGGTTGTTGTGGTTTTGGTTTTGGGGAGTGGGGGAGAGGGTTGGTTGGTTGGTTGGGGTTTTTTTCCTCTCTGTCAATGGTTGGCATGTTTGCAGCCATTATTTAGAGATTTAATACTACTAGATCAGTAATTATAAGACAAAATATCTTCCAGCAGTGTTACAGTACCACATTTGGCTTGTGAAAGCAAAAGGAAAGCTAACAAAATTTTCCTACTACTGCACTGGGGAATGTCAATAAAGCTCACTTGTAGTTTGCAGCCCATTGCAAAACTCATGCAATTTAAGAGAGCTCTAACACAGGCCCTAAGGAGATAGTTTTAGCATTGCTTCTGCAAGCAACATTGTAGTCTTATTTAGATTTGAAAGGCAGAAAAGCTGCATTTATAGAAAGGTCCACAGATTTAAAATTGCTTCTCTCTTATAAACTGTTATTAAGTAGAAGCTACCCAGTTCTTTGGGCAATTCCCGAATCATGGAATATATCACCAGCTTGATAAATTGTCAAAACAAATAAGGTGGTATTTTGGTTTTGTTGTTGTTTGGTTTTGTTTTTTTTTATGGCAAGCATTCTATACCCATAGCCTTTCCCATGCCATCGGTTATATTTTGAGCTTATTATAGCACTGCTAGAAATTATAATATCGAAACCTAGTGATTGAAGTATTACCATAGTTGCTGCTCTGTTACGTCATCAAGAGAAAAGAGACATTTCGTTGGACCACGATACTGATTATAACTATAACCTGGCTTTCATTGCTTATCTTCTGCTACCCAATTCTGTAATTCTTGCATGCTTACTGTTTTGAGGGCTGCTTGCAAAAAAAAATGAATTCTCATAAAAGGGCACCAGTTAAAAGAAAAAATGCTGCATTTACTGCGGCTTCTTCTTAATTTCCTTCTTGCAAAACCTTCTGTGGAGACAGACATAAGAAAAACAGTCACGGAAACAAAAGATCTTTTGTATTCAAGTAACCATCTAAAGTCAGTTGTCTAAAACTGAAAGTAACATATAGCTCTACTGTGAAATATCAGGTATTACGGCTATGTTTCCTTTCTCTGATGCTGGGACAGTGAGATTAGAGATCAAAAGCAGTACAGGGACAGAGTTTAATAGTCCCCTGTTCACTGTCTGCAAAAATTACACAGCTTTCCTTGAGTAGCTATACTGTATTTTAGCCTGCTACCTATAGCTTTGTTAGGAAGCTTTATAATCAGTCTTGGCTATTTTATTAGAAGAGAAGGACAGGAAGTCCCAGTACTTTCCAGTTATATGTGTTATAGAGATTTTAAAAGAAGGATTTGGCACATGAACTCACTAGTGGCACTGGAATGTTCTCTTCAGCTTCATCTGTATAGAAAGGATGTGAAGTCGTGATTTTTTGTGAATCTTACGGTATCTCTGACTATGCCTGAACACAGTCAGAACCCCTTTTAAGGCAAAAAAGAGAAAGAACAGTTGTATTTTTAGTCTTCCAGGTTCTTTCTCCTGCCTAAGGAAAAGAAGAGGTTGACAGCAAGAGTGCAGACCCTTGCTCACATCACAGTGATGACATAGGAAATTTTGGGTGTTACAGTCTCACAAGATTACTGTCAGCTTTTAACATTGTAATAAACAGTAAGAGTTGGAGGTCCAGAAGAGCCTTCTAGTCAAGTCAATAACTGCTTCACCAACATTCTACACTAAGAGGTCAGATAACCTAGGAAATTAAGAATTGCTATTTGAAGTGGCACTTCAGAGAGATTGAGTATGTGCAACTCTTGTTCCAGTGAAATGTACTGGGCCCTTTTTGGTTAAGCAAGTGTTTTCTCATAAGGATTTTTAATCCTCTATCCTTAGTAAAATGTTTAGGATTCTTCTGAACTATTTGAAAATATATTGTGAAAGAGTGATAAGAAAATGTTGCCCAAATGTTCCACTTAATGATAGTCACTTAATTTTGTTCAGTGGTTACAGAGAGTGCTAGTGCTTGACTATTTCTCCTCTTGTTTGCTGTCTTAATATCACAACAGTTGCTTTCTACATTTCTTGAGGTTGTCTATAATTTTCTCAATTGCAAGCACTTTGTTAATTGAAAGTGTTTTGTCACTTATTTTGATGTTTGTTTTTAAAAGTATGATAATTTGGTGAACAACAGTAATTTACAGGCCTTTTCTTTTACCTATATGTGTCCATATTACACAGTTTTTAAAGCTGTTCATAATGTCACAATTCAAATTTAATTTCAATCCCTAGGTACTAGTGAAAGATGACAGTGTACAAACCTCAGCTTGTTACAGTGAAAGGTTATGCTCTTCCTCATTTCACAGAAAATTTTGAAGGCCTAACATGAGAAAGATAGGATAGAAACAGAAAATAACTATTTTAGAACAGTGTTATGATTTTTGGTACCATCTGTTAAAATTTGTATAGTCTTGAACATGAGCTCTTGAGCGCAAGAATCTGCCCACCTTAATTTGTACCTTCCTCTCCCCCTCCCCCTTTTTTTTTTTGGTGGGGAGGGGATATGACTGTGACCTTTCTCTCCCATTTAAATAACATTTTATTCTGCACTATTTTCTATCTCTAGCCTTTCTTCTCTGCACAGCAGAAGGGAAAATATGGCACAGATATTGCCTGTAACTGGATGCATTATGGTATTATCAGAGGAAAATATTGTCTTTGTTACATGATGTTCAAATACTTACATTCTGGTTTAGCTTCGTTTGTGCACTCTCTCTGTTTCTGTCAGACCTGAAAAATAAGCCCCAAATGTTTCTTTCTCTTTTTTTTTTTTTTTGTGCTTAGGGCTAGTATTAGAAACCTGTACCAGCAGCAGGCCAGGCTCAAGTATCAGTTATGGCAACCCATGCATGAAGTTGATGCCTTTGAACCATTTCCTATAGATGAGACATAGCACATGCTGTGGTGAGTCAACAGTGTATTATTTTATTAAATCCAACTACTTGGCAAAAAAAAAAAAAAAAAGCAAAAAAAAAAGCTAAATGATGCCAAAGTGCATGGTGGTGGTTTGGGGTTTATTTCTTGTTGTTTTCTTTGTGAGCTTTTTTGAGGGGAGGAAGGTTAAAACTACAACTTCTGCTAATTTTTAGTACATATGAGCCTAATGCTGTCTTTTAAATGTCTTTTTAAAGTGTATAATTTCTGCATTGTACATGTGATCATCAGGTGGAGCACATTGGGAATAGGATTGTGCTGAAAGTGTGAGGATAAAAAATGATTTTTAAAAACTCCTACATACACACATTCTTGGCTTGATATATCCACTATTTTACACCAAATTTTGTTAACTACAAAATATTTTGCATCTCTTTGATTTGGGGTGGGGGAGAGGAAAGGTGGGTTTTTTTCCTATTTGATATGACTAAAGAAGACTTTGAGGAATCATGACAGAATTTTCTGACATATAACTCTATTCTTTGACAGGAAAATAGATTGTAAGAATAGTGTTTAAAAGGAAATAGCCTTTTTAAAATACTCTTTGGCTTTATCTGTAAGTCTGCTAATAATTTTGCAACCTCTTTCTTACATAATAAGTAATTTTGATCCCCATAATTTCTTTTAGATGATCTCCTTTGGGAGATGAGGAATTGTTTTTAACTGTCCCATGTAATCACAAGAGAATTATTGTGAGATCTTGTAATGATTGAAGGTAACAAATTTTCTCTTCAAAACAAGCTTATATTACTTTTTTCCCCCTCTGATACCAGGTGGACGTTTGTCAGTTGCAGTCACCATAACCAGCCAACAGATTCAAAAAGAAGCCACAGCTGTAGACTTCAAGTAGATCTTGTGTGATTTGACCTTTACTGGTGGCCAGTGTCAAAACTTATGCCTGATGCTATTACACAAATAAGGTGTAGAGCTACACCACTAGAATGTTATTGGTAGATCAGGCAGAGATGGAAACACGTAGTACATAATGACTGGTGGGCATTAGTGATATGTGACTAATACAACAGTAATGAAATGAGTGCTCTGATGGCATGTTACTTTCATCCTTGGTAGAGCTGCTGAAAAAATGGAACAGGTGTCAGTTAAATGAATTTGACTTTACTCCAGAGTGAAATGAGAGAGAAAGTAGCAGAAAGCAGTACCTGCTAGTCCATTGAAATAATCTGTGCTCTCTTGAAACCTAAGGGGTGTTTCCCAAGAGGAGAAACCAAACCCTGGACATTAATAGTGATTTGTGTCATGAAGAGTGGATGCAAAAATCTATGTAGAACTTAAAAAACGTCCCTGCTATGTATTACTGCTATGATATTTTTAATGTCTTACGGCTTTCAGGGCCTATTGTGTTTGTCCTAAGGCAGTTCTTGTTAGCAAGACAGCCTTCATCTTTTTTAATACTTAGTTTAATATGGACTCTAAAAACCGTATGAATATATAACCTTTTTTTTCCCCAAATTTTATTTCTGTGCTTAAAAGCATATAGATAACCTACTTGTTGTAGATAATGGAAGTTTAAAATAAACTGGAAACAGCAAAATGTTCAGGATTTATGATAGTTGGTAATATTGTAAAAAGAAAGGATTTTGTTAATATGTCCATAATGGACAGTAGCTGAAGAGAAATTACATGGAATTTTTATGACTTTTTTTTACATGTTAATATGATTAGTCCATAGTTATAGCAGTTCAGTTCCTGTCACCATTAGCATTTTGAAAATTGCTGTACATGTAGAATATTTTTTTAAGAAGTTGGGTGACAATAATCTCCAATCTTAGCAATTTTACATTTAGAAATACATGCAGTGCTAATTTTTGAATACAGTCATATTGCTGCCTACAAGCAGTGTGACTCAATCATTTGTCCCTCAGGTCACCAAGATGTCTTTGTCTTAATGTTGTAGCTATTGATATTGCTGTTTGGTATTTGAAGCAAGTACCAATGGCTCTGTTCAGTGTATTCAGTGTATTTTCTCTCTGAGTTCAAGTCCTCTAAGACACCTAATTCAAGACATCTAAGTCACCTTCTTTAGCTTTGTTCATCTCAGTTTCAGAGTGGTAATCAGTACAAATAGCAGCTTTTTCAGAGCAGTATAGGATACAAATTAAAAAAACTTAAGAGATGTCACAGGTAAAGAGTTGCTTGAGAAGTTTTCCTCCCAACTGACATAATTTTAACGAACAGAGAGTGAAACATTTTTAACAGAAATTAAGTAATTCAAGGTCTTGTTCTGAAGCTGCAGATATACAGAAAATGTCTATCATTGTCTTCAGGCAAGTAATACAAACCTTTAGCATGTGTGTTTGAAAGATGGGGCCTTGATATGCAAATTCTTATGCTTTCTGTGAAGAGTCTTTCCAGTTAATATTGGTTGTTAAGGCATACAAATCACTTTGAACACATAACTATGTTTTGTATTCAGCCATTTCTCCTTATGAAAATGCAAGCTTTATAACTTGTGAAATGAGAAATCAGGTCTAAAACCTAGCATGTAATTGTCAAAGTTAAATTCACTGTCAAAAAACTTCTAAAAATGGTCAGGAGAAGTAGCATTTGGAGAATAAAAATAGTTCATAGTATGCATCACAAAAAGAGCAGGTAATGAAAAAGTGATTTTATTTTGTTTAACGTGAAAATAAGTTTAGTACTATGGCTGATGGGTGTTTTATAAAGCTGAGTTAGTAATTTCGGTAGAAATCATGAGAGAGAGAGGCTTTGATATAGCTCTGCAGATGAGCAAAGTACCTGGGATAAAGTAATTTATTTTTAAGCACTTATAGAGTTAACTTATGCAGTTGCATGTTTTTATGAAACATTGCGTTAGTTTCTTGTATGTTCATTCCTATGTAAGTGCTAAGTGCACTAAGAGAAATTCTGAACATCATCTGCTCAAGTAAATGTAAAGTAGCTCCAGAGAGTTTAGTACAGTTACACGAGATTTATGTCAGAGCTCAGAACACAGTTTTCTTTGATAAACCTGCATTCTGCTCCTCTGCCCCCTGGCTAATAGGAAAAGCCTATTTATATTAAATTCGCTGCATATGATAAATGTAAAGACTTCTTATCTGTTATCAATAGTGCTGATAAAATGAGTAAGTTTTCCTATTTGAGGACAGTTGCCTTAATGTATTTCCAAAAGCCATTTATCATGTGATAACTATGTACAAACAAAGATTTTGCAGAAGTGACCTGTAATTGTCAACACTTTAACTGTTCACCTTCCTTACTCTTTGGGGAGACTGGACTTTTCCAGAAAGTGCTGAGATCTTCACTTTGAATTACAGACATCTCAGTGGAACCTCTTTATCACCTTTTATTTTAATAAACTTCACTGGAAATGCCTATAAAAGGGAATTGTCCTGCCTTGGCATTTTTTTTCTTGTTGGTTTTCTTATTATTTAGTTTTATTATTATTTGTTTTATTCAGTCTCCTCAGGATATTTTTTTACAGGATTTTTTCAATCCCTTTTAAGCTCATATTGCATTATTTTTTATTCTGTTACTTCTTATTCTGGTTCATTTCCCTTCTCCCTTCATTCTTGGTTTGTCTTTACTCAACCTTTCAGCCTGTAATATTAGTATTTTAATTAAATTATACCAAAATGTAGCATTGTCAACTTTCGCAGTATTTGGGTTTTTTAATGCCCTAGGCTCAGTGTCACATACATATGAAAAACTATGAGGCTTCTTTTAATAAAAAGTAGGATTTTCATCATTGATCCTGAAAAAAATTGAATTTGAATATGTGAAAGCTTGAGGCTTCAAAAATGTACAACCCTTCCACTGAGATTATACCCTAGTGGTATCTCAGAATTTTGGGAGCATATGCCATGGTTGTTCTGACTGATAATCTCAAAAAATTATAGATAAAGTTAATTGGAAAGTGAAGATTTGCTATGCATCTGAATGCTTGTAAAGGTGTGGGCATATCTCTGTTCTGTATCTATGGCTGCATTCGTCCAGTAGCCTGGACTGGCATAGGAAGAGTCAAGCTATTTGCACATACAAAAAGTGAAAATTAAATTATTCTGAAAAATTCAAGTGCAGATTCAAGTCTTTGGGGGATCTCCAGTTGTTTAATTTCACTTTGAAATACTAGTGGATCAAATGCTTTTTTCTGCTATATAGCAGTCTGTGCTTGTTGAAAAGGGGCGAACTTGTATTACAAGCTTAATACCTCCCTGTGCCAGGTGCCACCTGTGTACATATCACATGAAATACTCATGTCTCTGCTGTATTTTTCAAGTTGCTGATGGAAGAAATAACTGTGCCACCTGGCAGGTTAGTTCAGTATTTGGCAGGCTCCTCTCCCAGCCTTGTGGAAAATATTCAGGACTATTGCTGTAGAATATGGGGGTAGAATGTCAGACAGATATTCTGAATCTTTCTGTAGTTCTTTAGTGTGATCCTTATGAGTTGTAGTAAAATAATCTGAATAGTCAGCAGAAGAATAAATGGAAATGCTAAATCAATAACCAAGAACAGTGGTGCCAGGAGAGTGGTAGAAAGTAGACCAACACAACAGTAAATTCAGCTGTGTTAATGGGTATGTCATATGAACCCATGTTATATAAAGTAGTAGGAAGTATTTTGTAACCACAGGGGGAAATAATTTACCTCTCTCCTCTTCTAGATTTGCTATTGTGGTGTGTTTACTATGTGCCTGTTTCTTTGTGTAGTGTTTTTAACAAAAGTTCCTTTCCTTGTCACAGACTGTCAATGGGAGCAGAGAGCTGAACATGCTGTGTAATACTGTTAGCTTTTTCTCTGTTCACCTTCCCTCTTGTCCTGGGTTCAGCAGTAGCAGTCATTTTTCCCCTTCTTGGTAGCTGATGCAGTGCTGTGTTTTGACTCTCGGCCTGGGAACAGAGCTGATAGAGATGTTTTGGTTTGGCCAAGGACTTTGTGAGCCTCATGCTCTGCCAGGGAGGACGGGAAGCCAGGAGGAAGCAGAGACA